TACTCCATTCATTCATCCACAGATCGTAATTCTGACCTTGAACGATCTATCTCCAACCCCCAGAGGTCACCATTTAATACACGGGGATTCTTCGGCCTGCTGGATTCGAACTCAAGAACGAGAGTCCTGCCAACCAGGCTATCCCACCCCCTGTGAAGCGTATAGATAAAAGTAAAGGATTCGATTTCCAACTGTAACTTTTTAGGCTCTCTTTCTGATACCCTGCTACAATTTTTACTTTGTTTGACAAGAGCAGTTTTCTTTGAAATTTTAAACAACGGAAAAATTTCGGGTAATTAAAGAAAACGTTATATTCAAGAGGGGCCCAGTTCATTTCATCGACAGGCCATTTCATCGACAGACCATTTCATCGACTAGGTCATTTCGTCGACAGGCCGTTTCCTCGACGGGGTCATTTCGTCGATTAGTCATTTCATTGATAGGGTCATTTCAGCGACAGGGTCATTTCATTGACAGTGTATTTCGTCGACAGGGTCATTTCGTCGACTAGTCATTTCATCGACATGGTCATTTCGTTGATAGTGCCATGCGTAATCCTGTTTTAGAGATTTAATCTAAATATTTTTATTATTAAATAGAAAAATGCTATTATTTAATTTTTATACTAAAGTTCAACAGTTATAGTGTGACGTTAGCAATCAAATTATTTTTAATATCAAATCGAATTAATAAAATAAAATATTCTCAGAATTAAAAGTAATAAAAATATACAATGAAAATTTGACACTGTTTTAGGGGGGGGGGAGCCAAATGTATTGCTGTAAAAATTTTCAGCATTTTTACATATATTTTAACAAAATCATAAGCTTCAGTCTAATTCTCACAGAAATGAAAATAACCATAGGCCTTAAGTAATTATATCTGCATAAGTAAAAAAAAAATTCTAGGTTTTTTTATTGTGGAAAAAGACTTTCTTAATGTATAATTTAATTGCAATTTTAAACTTTTTATTCAGCATCTTTAACATTAGGACAGGATGAATGAATATATGCTTATTTGAACTAAATAATCGAACTTAGTCTTAGTTTCGTTACCACTATTAGAGTTTTCTAAGAACTAAAGGAACGCAAACACGATGTTTAGGTATTTATCGAAACTGTTGTAGACTCCTACAACAGTTTCTAATACAACAATAATTAAAGTGCCACACACCGGACCAAAAATGTTTAGAAAAACAGGCGTAACGTTGCAAGCATGTTAGTGTTTGCTCTTCACAAAATATTTTTTTTTCTCTGTGGTTAGTGAATTTAATAATAGTATTATTTACTAAATTCTAATCTAATATTAATAAATTATACTATTATTATTCTAATTAAATAATAATAGTATAATTTAATAAGAATAATAATAGTAATAAATAGATGATGAATTAATTCCTTTTTATTTGCGGGATTTAAATTAGACACAATTTGTTTAAAAGAAAATGAAATAAAATCAAACCTGGAATTTAAACGTAAGAATAAATAACTGTATTACTCCACAAAAAAGAAAAGCAAAATCTTGCAATTAAAATTTCGACCAATTTTTGACTAGTTTAAGTGCTCAAATTTTTAACTGGTTTTCTGCACAGGATAAAAACACAATTTTCAGACGCTTTCTGACCACTATTAGCAGAACTCATCGCCAATCAAAATTTTGATTATTTTCGGCCTGAACAAGCCAGGAGACTGAAAACTAAAATGCAGAAAAAAATGAAAGTAAAAAATGCATATATATATTTAAAATATCAAGTTTATTCAGTAGACTAAAAATGACAAAATAAATTTATCAAAATTTTCATCGCATAATAAAAACCACAAGGGCGATATTTCACAATAAACTTCTATCACAGTTAAAATTCCACTATTTTCGTTCTGGTGACAAAAATTAACATTTCTTTTTCAGTACACTTATCAAACATGGTGTTTAAAAACATTTCCATTTCCGATTACACTTTTTAAAGGGCTTTCCTTAGTGCTTGTCTTTAAAATATATACTCTCATTGCAAATTTTATTAATTTAAATAAAATTTTATTCTCTGGCAAAGTTTTATATTCTGGCAAATCAAAAGAAAAACATTTTAATATTGGGGTAAAAAAAATAAATTTACTAAACTTATTTTTAATTAAACATTAATGAGTAAAATCAGATGCATATGGACAACTCTCCTCAATGATAAACTCAAAAGTCAATTTGTTTGTTATATCGTAATTAGTTGCGTTTTTTTTTTTCTAAATGTTTTAAATCATAAAAATCAATTAGACTGGTTTCCTCCCGTCCCCTGATTTGGAACCATTTTTTACACGATCATTTCGATTGCATCGCATACCAAATATGCGGAGTCATTGAGAGTTTTTTTCTTTTTTTTTTTACATTAACGATGTCTATTTTATAAAGTAAAAGAACTTATAAATGTTTGGGGAACACATAGGATAAAATACATATTAAACTATTAAACATTGTCGATGAAATGACCCTGTCGACGAAATGACCCTGTCGACGAAATGACCCTGTCGATGAAATGATCCTGTCGATGAAATGACTTGTTGACGAAATTACTCTGTCGACGAAATGACCCAGTCGATGAAACGGCCTGTCGACGAAATTACCTAGTCGATGAAATGGTCTGTCGATGACGTGGTGTCGATGAAGTGATTGTCGATGAAATGAATGCGATCCATTTAAGAGGCATGTTTCATATTGCTTCAGAAATAAATATAATTTAAAATTATCAAAAAATATAAATTTCAATATAATAAGACTATAGATTAGACTATAATTGAGAGAAAATTTAAACTTCGGAATACAGATAGAGGAACAAAGTAAGAAGTAATAAATGATAAGTAATTTTACTCGTTAACGAGACTTATATAACAGTTAAATACGAAGCGGAATTTAGACTTTTTTAAATCTTACTCCCAAACATTATTAAGTTTTTTCATTAAATAATTCAATAGCACTGAAAATTTTAAAAGTAATAAATAAAATAAAAAATAAGTACAAATTTTTATCAATTAGTGGACAGTCCCTCAGGTAAAAGCCCTACGATTAAAAATCTCAATTAATTCTTATCTTTATTAAATTAAATGAGAGGATGATTAATGAGGGAGAGGGACATTTTGAGAGGATGAATCTCGATGATTTTGACTACTCGGGATCCCACATGAAAATACGTAATTAGTGAATAATCCCCAAGTCAAGTTTCAGATTAAGGTAGAGATCTATAAATAGAACTGCACAAGAACGTCATTAGCTTGTCAGTGAAGAAGACAATGGCAGACGAAGACCAGCGATGAAATTATTAAGAGAAATAAAATAGCTATGATCCTCATGGTGATCAAAAATTTGAGAGATCTTTCAGTGGAAAATGAAGCCTGAAATCGTGAATCTCTCGCAAAATACAGCAGACTTGCACCATGAGAGAGTGCAAGATTTCTCTCCCACAGAATTCAGTTTAGCGTACGTACATACGGACCAGCAACATATAGTGATTTCATCAAACATGTAAAGTAACTGGCGCTTTCATAAGCTATGTGAAAACGCTATTTGCGTCATTTGTGGCGAAAATCGACACGGTAAAGAAACAATCTTTTTTAGGAAAAGGCAAAATGAAGTATTTTTTAAAAACACCCAATGAAAAAAGCACCTTTTGAAGAATGAAAATTGAAAATAAGCACTTTTTAAAAACTTTACGCACCCTGTTAATTACTGCAATACTAAGTGTTTTAACTTGTCGATGTCTTTGAATTGATAAACTTCATTTGCATCGTGACAGTATTTCACTAGAAGATTAACTTCATGCTTCTTACTATCTGCGCTAAATAAATCTGCTTAATTAAATAGACATATTATCATGAAGGACCAAAATGAACACTAACAATTGCTATCAACAATATTACAGTATTCAAGATATATTGTGAAAATATATTTCAAAATATTGTTTCTGAGGCACTTAAAAATTATTAATACTTCACAATGATATGCTCAATTCTAAATGATATTAGAACACAATGAATGGTGATTGCTATCTTATACTCAATAGTTATTACAGTATATTCTGAGAATATAATATTTTATTTGAGAATTACTGCAGATCCTGGTGTATAAATCGACCCCCCTATTTTTGATTGCGAGATAGCAAATTTCTAGCATGAGAAACATATAAATCGACCGCCAAAAAACTAAACACGTTAACACATTTCTAAAATTAAAAAACAAAAAAATTTTAAGTTTACAAAATATTTCAATTAAATAATGTTCTATATTGCTCTCTCTGGATATGATACATTTGCTCTGAAATAAAGATGCATTAAAAGATGCTATGAGGTGACTAGTCAAATCCTTTACTAGACGTGCAACAAAAGTATTTTTTCAGACTTCTGAAGCGGTGAAGGAAGGCGATTTTTTTTGCAGATGAATTCATTGCTGAGTGGGATCCGTATGATGCTAACGTTATTGAATCCAATAAAGATGATAAACTGGAATCTTTAAACTTGTAGCCTTATGTTAACTTTTAAAAATTCTCATTGCATTATACATTTTGAAATATTCTTGAATCTTGACACTTCTTATTCTTAATTATCTTTTAAACGTGCAATGTATTTAAAAAAGAAAAAAAAACTTTAAATATAAGTGAAGAAAATAAGTGAGAAAATATGAAATTCACTTTGAAAAATATATTAAAAATAGTTTTTGAAATGGGTAAATTACGTCCATAAAAAAAATTATATTTGTTTATTATGTATTGATATTTCAAGATAAACAATTAAGAATAAGTCGACTACCTGATTTTAATAAAATTTTGGGAGTCTTGAAAAGTCCACTTGTATACCGAAACATGCAGTATTGTTTCTGTGTCATTTTAAAGTTATCAATATTTTCAGTTCAATTCAATAACTTTAACTCTAAATTAAATAACATGTCGGGAAGAATTGAGTCAATAATACTATTGAAAAAAACAAAAAACAATGACTAGCAATAGGTAATAAACTAATCAATCATTTTTGAAGTTGGACATATTTTTATTGTTTATTTTTAAGAAATAACAAGCAAATTTAGATTATAACAACGGAACCAGAGCAAAACAATGACAATATAGAAAGCCTAAAATAAATATTTTTTTAAAATATAAATGAATTTCTAGACTCTTTCATAGGAGAAATTTTGGTTTCTCCAAATCAAAATAAAAAAAAATATTTAGAACACATTTTTTCTATAAATCTGAAGCATTTAGATAAGTAAAAAACAATATCTAATCACCATATTCTAATAACAAATACGATTTTAGTTTGGAAGGAAGCGGAAGTTGATGTATGTACTTCATGGATTTGGATCCTAATGCCTTGCGTATGGTAAATCGGCAATTATGCTGCAGTGTTCTAGGATTGCAAGCTAGTGTTTCATACCATACATGTTTATTACTTGCAGCATTTGATTCTATATGTTCTTTAGTCTCTGCTTCCATAGTTATATAGGCAGATTGAAATGCTTCTGAAATGTCATAGGCTGCAGCTACCCCAAGTTCACAAGATGGAATATGGCGATAGACTTCATGCGGATGATAAGGCAGTTGGGGGGATATTCTCAGCTTTCCTAAACGGGGAAGATGGAGCATACTTCTCACAATGTATCTCAAAATTTCAAGATCATCGTTTAACTTCAACTCCCATTCCAAAAGCGTGAAGCCACGATTATTCCTGATATCGACATTTGCTCCGTAGGCTATCAAGAATTTTGCCATTTCTGGACGCCTTCGCAGACAATTCCTTCCATTGAAACAGACAAAATGCAAGGGCGTCAAATCAGAACCGTCTTGCTGATTAATGTCCACGTTGTAACCTTCCAAAATGAGCATCTTCAGTATATCCAGACTGACCGATTCATTCTCGTTGAGAGGGGTCACTGCCAGATGCAACGGGGAATTTCCAGCATAATTCATGTGGTTGACGTCAGATCCAAATTTCAACAACTCACTGACACATTCCACGAGACCACGACTGACAGCGAAATGCAATGGCGTGTCGGAGGTTTCGAAGCTGGGCAGTGACAGAATATCTCGACCAACAGCATTCTTCAAATGGGCAAGAATGCAATCGCCGTAACCCCACTTGGCAGCTATGTATAAACTGGTACGCCCACGCTCATCCACTGCATTATAATCGGCTCCATACTGAATCAGCTCTCTAACACAGTCAATGTGATTATTATCGGCAGCCAGGTGGAGCGGAGTAGTTCCCCCAAGATGAGGAACAGCAGTATAGCTACCAGTTTTGGAGAATTTGGTGGGTAGGGAGCATTCAGCATTTGCTTCAAGCAAGGACTTGAGACAGCTGTAATGGCCTTTCTCTGCTGCCATGTGCAGGGCAGTGACATCAAATCTATTTCTAGCATTGACATCAGCGCCATATGCAATCAGAAGGTCGACACATTTAGAATGTCCTTTTTCAGCCGCCAACTGCAGAGGTGTCATGTAATTTTTGGAAGCATAGAAGAGAACTTTATTATATTCTTCTGCGTCAACAGATATACCTGCCTTTAGCAGTCTGAAAACTTTTTCAAAATCTCCAATTGCTGCAGCTTCAACCAAGAACTTTTCATCAAGCATTTCTTCATCCTCGCCAACATCATAGTTGAAGTCCAAGGCCATCCTGTAATAAAAAGATTAAATTTGTTTGCTTGCAGGTTAGAACAGTATAAAATAAACCTCAAAATAGTGTTTGAAAAGAAGAGTTAAAAAAAAATGACCATGTATAACAATTACTTTGCTTAATTTTTGAATTTTACATTATCAAGATAATTATAAATGCAACAAGATCACAATGTTAAAAAAATGAAAAACGAGCAGGAAATGCCCATGCATGCGAAATACTATATCCAAAATTTTAAAATTTTGCAGACAAAGATACTTATTTTGCTCATCAAAACGAAAGTATTAAAAAAGGAGACTAAAGGACACGAGACATTAAACGTCTAAAAGTCTTGTAATTTGACATGTGTCAAAATTACAATCTAACTCGTTTATAATGAGATCATACGGACAGAGGCAAATGAATCAAAGCATTCCTCAAATCTTGGCAAGCTAAAATTATCAATAAAAAGCTTGAATAATGCACTTTTAAAGAGTACAATGAGGGAGCTTGCATAACATGCCGACAAACACATGAATATAAAAAAGCTTGAATCTAATCAATGTCATTTCAGTGCTTGAAAAAACTAATTTTTTTAAGTTCATTAAAAATAGAACTAATTTTAAATAGTAAAAATAGAATTAACTAATTAATTAAAAAAAGTTGAAGATTGAAAGAAAAACTTCCAACAAAATATTTTAGAATAATAAATTGAAATTTTTTTAAACACAGAAAATATTTCTTCATAAGTTGAGACAATTTATTAATCAGAAACATTTTTTGATTTATTAATATGAATAATTGTTTGAAAAAATTAAATTTTTCTTTTAAGTTCATTAAAACTAGAGCTGAACTAATTTAATTCAAATTTAGTACAATGTTGCTATACAAATGAAGTGTTGCCCATGAAATGTTGTACAAATATAACTATTTTTTAAAAATTCAGTGATTTTAAACTACTTAACTTTTTTTGAAGCTGAATTTTACTGGATGATTCAATTTACATTCATCTATCAAAATTAAATAAAAGTTGAGGATTGAAAGAAAATTTTTTTTAGAATTGACATTTTTTAAACATAGAAAATATGTCTTCATGTGTTGAGACAATTTAATAATCTGAAACATTTTTTTATGATTGCTTTTAAATTCTTTATGCTGTTGAGGGAATTCAGGAACTACAAAAATATCATATATTTATGATTTAGTTAAGCATTTAAAATTCTTAACTTTTTTTAAGAAGTAAACTGAGAGTAACAGAGCAAAATAGGATTCTCCATTAATCTTCATCTTAATTGTACGAGGGGGAATCTTAAAAATGATAATTAATTAGCGCAAACAGTATTTAAGGTTATGAAAGCAGACACAAAAAAGTATTTTCCCGAAAAAAACCTCTTTTCGATAAATTCGGAACTCCAAAATAGCGGGAGGGGATAATCGCAATCGAAGAAATAAGGACTCAATAGTGTGATCAGGCGAGCGGTCCAAAGTTTGGATCTCTTGTTAATTTCACTTTTTTGCGTATTTAGCCATATCTCGAGAACTTTCTTGAACGAAATGAAAAACTTTTGCACACAATCATAAAATTCGTTTATCAAAAGATAATTCCATGCTAAAAATAACTTTTATTTAATTTTCATTATTTTTTTTTTAATGAAAGTTGAATAATAAAGTATATAGTTTTTTTTTTAGATCATTTAAAAGAACGTAATTTTACACGGCAAAATAGAAAATTTAAGCGAAATCGTTCAAATATGTTCTGAGAAATCTAAAGAAGTTGTAAATTTAAAATTCCGTTTCTCAGGAACTTTTTCACGGATTTCACTCAAATTTCGTATTTAGCCATGTAAAATTACATTCTTAAAAAATTACGCTAAAAAATCTATATCTTACAATTAAAAAAATATAATAAATACTTAATAAAAGTTACTTTTTGCATGGAATTACCTTTAAACTAATTTTACAATTGGTGCACAAATTTTTTTTTCAATTCAGATAAAAAGTTCTTGAGATATGGAGAATTAGACAAAAAGTAAGAATAACATTAAGGAGTCCAAATTTGGGACCTCTCTCATGATCAAACTATTGGCACCCTATTTCCCAGATTGCGGTTACCTCCACTATTTTGGAGGTCAGAAATCCAAATCAGTCGAAAGAAAGGTATGTTTATTCAGAGAAAGTATGTTTTTGTGTCTGATTTCATAACTTCAAAAAATATAGTCTGCATTAATTAATTAGCATATTTGAGGTCAACCCCTCGAACGACTAAGATTGAGTTCTAGAATGTGAAGATCCAATCATTAGAATAAAATTTATTCAGGTTGGTTCGCTTCTTTATCTTATGCTACAAACTATTTCTTTTTTATTACATAACTAAGTTTTTTAAACAGTAGCACATCACATAACAAACTATAAAAAAAATACAACTACAGTTTTAATACAAATAGAACATTAGTTCCAAATAGATACCTGGCATAACTAATAACAATAATGTAAGTAACAACCAAATAATGTAAGCAACAAGAGAGATTATGCAGGCAAATAAACACAAAATTTCAGAGTAACACATTTGTTGCCTTTTCAGACGATACTGATGTATGAAAGAGTTTTGTTATGCAATATCATGCTCTTTGTTATAGTTTGTGTCAATAAAGCTGATTATGTGGTAGCTAGATGCATATTATCTTTCAACTAAACTCAGTGGCGCAACAGCACATAGAGGGCTCCTCTAAGTTTTCTTGATCTTTGGGCTCTCGGGTGCAAGAGCAGATGTTCCGGTTGGTTGTTCAGCCCAACGTGGAATCCCCAGTGTTTAGTTCCCAAACACACTCGGTACTCATTTTATCGACCCACTGAAGGGATGAAAGGTCGAGTCGACCTTGCCCGACTCTAGGATTGAACCGAGAACCTGTGGCACGACAGTGCGAAGCGCTATCGTTCAGCCACGGAGTGTATCATTCAACTATTTTTGAAGAAAAAAAATAAATATGTCTTATGACAATAACAAATTGTTTATTAAACAAAAATTATTTGTAAAATTTAAAAAACTAAAATGGTTGCTAAAATAAGAAAATTTAACTTAGGTTTTATCTTTATAGATAATCAATTTTCAATGATTGATATAGTTTAACCACCTGCACTCGGTAGGCAATGAATGTGTTTAGTCCCCACCCAAATTTTGATAAAAACTTTCTACCATAAATCTGAATATTCAAATAACTTATCTACTACTGGGATCCTTTTTTTATAAATGATTGCAATTGCGTCAAAAGATGATAAAACATTTGCATTCTCTCTCTCATTCATTGCTCATTTACTCCTCCCCAATTGTTAAATGATTCTTATTTGAATTTGCATTTTATAAAAATAGTCCAATTTATAGTAAATTTGTATTTTGATCAGAAGTTCTTGAAGGAAAATTTTTTTTTAATAAAAATTAATTTGCCTTTAGCTAAGAAAGATTTGAAATTAGCAAACACTTTTAATATATTGTGCAATTCTACAGGCTAATAATTTGAAGTTCTTAGTGCAGACCCTGCATTTGAGTAATCCATCATAAACACACACAATTTATCAGTTAGATTGTTTCTGAGCAGTTATTGCCATGAACTTTTACATGGTATAAGTGATATTGTATCATGTCTTGATATTTTTAAAATGATAATATAAAGGACGTTAAACACAAATATGTCAAATTAAATACATTGGCAGTAAATTTGTCACCCAGGTGTATAATTTTAGCAACATTTGTCAATGTAGAATTCCATTTAGGAGCTGTCACCACATTGTCATCCTCGTGTCACGTGATTCTTATGCACAGAAACATAACTCAGTGTAATGACTACTCACAATTTTATTGCAAGGCAGACTTTGGAGAACAATCGCAAAGAAAAGAGCAGAATGGAGGAAGGATTTAGGGAAGGCCCTGGCCCTCAAATTGCTGCATACCAATAGAAGAATTGGAAGTTTAATAAATAATTCACAATGAGTTTTCAAATTTTTTTTTTTTAATCAAGGCATGCTCAAAACAACTAAATTTTAAATAAAGCTTTCGACATTAAACCAAATAATTTTTGCTAAAGAAATTTCTGGTTACATCTAAAACATCATTAAATCAGAACTTTCAATATATAAGTTTGACTGTAATTTTTGGAAATAAGTAAAATGCACAGGAGTAAAAATCAAAAAAATTTAGTCACAGATTCAAAGGACCAGCAATATACACATTTTAACTTCTTTGTTTACATCTCTCTATTAGATATTTTTATAACTAAAAATTTATTAAGTGAATTTAAAAGAGAAATTACTATAACACAAGGAGTGTGTAATCTCACTATTATGATGATGTATACTAGGGGAGCAAAACCTTTTTGAGTGGAGGGTCACAGGTGCAGCAGATTAAGCAATGAAGGGCCACATGCCCAAGTATTTAGACAGACATTTTGAGAGCAATTATAGGTAGTAATTGTTATATTAAACATCATTGTTCTAGGCACATAATTCTTTTTATCAGTAACATTGCAATATGTTTGCATAAAATAAACTAAAAAGCCTATTACTTAGAGAAAAATACACAGAATCAGAATCAATTTATCAGAAAGAAAAAAATTCAGATAAATTGAAATAAATAAAAACAATGGGAAAATTAGTGTTTTCTTTAAAAAAAATTTATATCTTTTTTCATAATACATAAGCCCATTTAAACACAAATTGTAATATTAAACATTTTTTATGTACACAGAATTAAAAATGATTAAAATTAAAGCAAAACCACTCTTTCATCTCAAAATAAGAATCAACATTTAGTAGGGAGTATAGTCCAACAACAAAACATTAATTTTAAATAAATGATGAAAGGCTGAGAGAAAAAAGAAAGAAAGAAAACATTAAATTTGAAGGCACTGATTTTTCTTAATAATAAAAAACTATTTAGATACTTGTTTACAACTCTTTATGACCAATACTTTTACACATAGATATTAATAATCAATTAAAATTTACATTACTTTATGAAACTTACCTTGATTACACTTTTTTACAGTTAAAATTTAATGATAAACAAATCTTTTCCCAGCATTTAACCATAAATTATATTTTTAAAAAAATGATCCATGTAAGTAGAAAATAATTTTAAGAATTTCTTAATGGTTATCCTGCAATTTTCAAATAGTGTGATAATTTTATCTACTTAATCATCTGATAGCTTTTTCGGGCCATTAAACGAAAATGTAATGATTTTATTTAAAGAGTGCTCCACAATCTTGAACATGTCCAATTTATTATGGAAAACAGTCTTTCTACAGAAGCTATTGTTGTGGGCAGTATTAAACTAGGGAAGATAACTTAATCAGTTTTGGAAATTTGTTCCAGATGGTGCTCCTCCTTTCCTGATTTTTAAAACCCGTGAATATGAATACGGATGTGAGATTTTTAAATCGCTTGAATATGAAATGTTATGAGTGATTTTTAAAGTGCGTGAATAAAAAATGCAATGAGTAGTTTTCAAACAGTGTGAATACAAATCGAGATTGGTTTTTAAATTGCGAGAAGATTGCAACCTATGATTTTTAAAACACGTGAATATGAATCGCAATATATGGTTCTTAAATCGTGTGGATATGAATCGCTATGTAGGATTTTTGAATTGCGAGAAGAGTAACAGCATATGGTTTCTTAAACGCCAGAATACGAATCGCGATGGATGTGAACATGATTTTTAGAACACATAAATACGAATCGCGGTATATGTTTTTTAATCATGTGACTACAAAAAACTTAATTTGAGATAGAATAGGCACAAATAAACCACGTCATAATTGGTTATCTAAATTAGCGATCCATAATAATATTGCGCTAAAAATATCAAAATTTAAAAACCTTCGTGGAAATGCGAAGCAATAGTAATTTAAATCACCTTATACACCTTCAAAACGTAAAATACACTTTTTTTAAAAATATGAGAAAATGGGTAGCAATAACTACTGTAAAGTCATTGAATTTACGATAAAATTGGCACACACGAAGATAGTCAAAAGTAATAACTAAAATTCAAAATTCGTGTATCGTAATGATGTCGTATTAAAAATGTGGTATTTTCAAAACTATGCAGAAGTCCGTAGAGCTAACCATCGAATAAAAGCGATTGAAAAACTACATTGATTGAGATTGGGTATGTTAAAAACTTAAATGAGCAATTTCTGATTTTTTTTTACTTAAAAAAAAATATTGAGTTTTTTTAAAATTTTGTTTATGTTGCACATCGAGAGTTGGCGGGCCGCAGGTTGTGCACCCCTAATGTAGACTAATTAGTGACTCAAACTGAATAGTGAAAAAAATTTATCAAACATTAAAAGAAAATTATTTATAAGAAATTGAGAATTAAAGCAATATTAAACATATTACACAATAGGTCTTCTAGATTTTAAGTGTGTGTTTTTTTTTAAATGATGATTCATACATTTTAAAAAAACTAACCTTTTAAAACTTGAAATTACCTAAATTGAAAGAATGGAATGGAGAAATGTTGCACATTTTAAAACATTTTCTAAGTCCCGTTGCAAATTATCGTCAAATAAATAATTTACAATAAAATTATCCCATTTCAAATTCCTTTAACAGAAGATTCTAAACTCTAAGAAAAATATAGATGAGTCTAGTAGGTTGGTAACTGAATTAACACAGAAGGTACTGCAGATTTATTATTGCTTCACAGACAAAAATTATAACTCAACTATTTTTCTTTTAAATTCATGACAAAATTTGACTAGTCATAGCTAAAAGCTTTGATTTTTTAATTAAAAATCTAGACATTTTGAAAGTTTATTCTAAATATATTCACATGTTAAGAGATAGATAAAGATGTAATTGCCTGTGTATTTTCATCTTCGTGACTTTCCTTTTCTTTTTTTTTCTACCTCACACATTCAAATTATTTTCTTTCATGTTGAATTTTGTAATTTCTGAAGTCTTAGAATGTTTTACTTCTTTATAATTGGCCAAGATAAAAGCATGTTTATAAATTTTATTCTGTATGTTGATTGAGAAGCTGAAAATAATTGCTTTCATTTAAAAAATTAAAAATATAAAATGTCAACAGGTATAAAAAATAAAAAAAACATATAATAAAATAAGATCAGAAATAAAATAGTATCTGCAATAGTTAAGGAGTATAATAATATTTTTAAAATATTCATTTTCTTAAATCAAAAACCATTACAATATAGTAAACAATACAATTCTAATCACTACAAATGATATAAATAATAATGATATAAGTAAACCTCTCACACAATTTTTACTGTATGCTTCTCGTTAAAATTTAAAGCAAAATTAGTTGGAAATATTCTTATCAAATTTCAAATAAATGTTAATAACATTACATTAGGATTCCCTTACATACATGTCAAAAAATAAAAGAACTGATCATTAAAAATTGAATTCTACTGAATTGATCTTATAAACGATATTGGATATTTAAATGACTGTCAAAACTGTTTACCCAAATAGATTGACAGAGAAAAACTGCTTAACAAAGTAAACTTGATTGCAATTATAATAGTTTATCAAGATTTCTTTTTACTAAATACACAACAGAAATAATGTAAAATAAAGAAATGTATTGGCTAGATAATGAATTCCTCAGACAGTACTGAAATCTTCTCGTGTACTTCCCTTCATACTTAAAAATTATAAAAAGAAAACAATAATCTGTGTTCCTTTTAAACAACAAAAAGTGAACTGATGTAAACTTACTTAAATATTTTTATAAAGTAACACCATATTTTAGCATAAGAAAATACGTAATTGTAGTAGCAAAACCTAAGCTAAAAAGATTACTTTTAGCAAGTGTGTTCTAGTAATAAGTGCAAAAGAAGAACTACACAACGGTTCATATTTAAAGATTGATTCGCTGGTTTGCAGCATTAATTTTTTTATACTTTACGAACAAAAAAACAGTTTGACGATTTTACAGCATCTCTTTATCATTTCTGTGAAAGTACACTCTGGATAAATGCGCTTCGGTTTTTCCGTTTCTGCCCAGTTTCAGTATGTTTTTCTAAGTCGAATGATTATGGGTTAAATTTTTTTTTTTTATTTTTTAAAATGAGTCACATTTGTCACTGTTTCTTCAAAAACTAAAAATTTGGAGGTAAAATTTCCTTTTGAAAATAACTACTACTGTATCTTTCCGTCCCGCAGTGAACTGATCGTTAAGACACGGTTCCCAGCAGATCACCGAAGTCAAGCATCACTGGCTGCGGTCAGTGCGCGGGTGGGTGACCACTTGGATTAGTCTGCGTAGGGACCGAGGGTGTGCGGTATTGATCCTCGTAAAACTGTTCTACCGTAAAGTGCTCGGCTTCGCGCGCAGGTCGTCGGGCTACCGAAGCGGGGGTGCCATCCCCTCTGTAGAGGATCAAAATTGAGATGGCATGTCTTCGGATCATCCTCAGGGACGTTTCCCAGACCGTCGCCAATAGCTCATTGTGCAGCTCTAGTGCGACGTAAATTAACTACAACTGCAACAACTTTATCTTTCCACATTAATATTCGTAGAACAGAGATCCCTAGCTTGGATTCTTTAATAGAAATTATTTTTTTTAAGAATTTTAAGAGGAGAGTTTTCTGGTTTTCGAATCTTCTTTCAGAAATTTTGCTACCAGTCATAGAGTTTTTAAAAGATGCTGGTCATTTTGTAAAGACAGGATACTCTAGTTGGTAGCGCATTGGGCTCATGTTCAAGAGGTCGTGAGTTCGATCTCCGTCGGCCGAAAGCACCTCATGTACAAATTTTGACTGGTGCACTCTAAATATGTCGGGTTACAAAATCCTCCAAGGGCCTATAACAAATCAATACCTTTGGAGCAGACATTGATCGTGTTAAGGTCCAGGTCAAAATTACGATCTACGGATGAATGGATGGTGTGTGCATGTGTCTTCCCTGTAAAACGGGATGCAATGTGTTTATGCCATCTCCGGGTAATTCCCTCTCCGGGTAAGTTATCATTGTGCAGCTCTAGCGTGATGTAAATGAAAGTACCGCGCGTCATATCTTAAAGTTTAAACTTAAAAAACTTGAAGATTGCAACTCGGGAGAAAACCTTATCAGTTTGATGACACAATAAATCCTCTTGATAAATTGATTTTGAATGTTTTTTGTAATAAACGTAAGGCATTCTTAGGGCCTTATTGTTTAACTAATAAGAAAATTGGATCATTCGACATCCCTTCACGCTGCTCGTTGAATGTCGAGAACATTGGACTGTTAACCTTCCATGGTCAAGTCGAGATGGAACAATCATTCCAAACAATATCCCATCTTTGCGAAAAATGACCTAAAGTATGAGCGTTTCTATTGTCATTCTACGCTTTGTCTTCCTCTATGTTCTTAGAAGCTATTCAACTTATATTACAGTAATATAAATTTTTGATTAAAATTGCAATTGATACACCATCATCCTGTAAATTATTATCTATCATTTTTTTTATGAATCTTAACCATAAAAGAAATTTGCAAAGAAAGTAAGAATAGAACAAAACATTATCCAGTGTTACATTATCATGCTACATATATTTTCCACTGAATAAAATGCTACATTTTTATATATTACAATTTTTGCTGCATTTATTATAAAAGTAATTTTAAACATACATTATCACATGCGTTCTTAATTTTAATTGCTACTGATAAAGTCCGTTAATTTTGTCTGAATGTTTCGCTTGAAAAAGTGATTTTTCTCATAATAGGTCTCGCATTTTCTTGCATGGTAGTTACTCTTGCTTTGCTATGTTTTCCTCCAAAGCATTTCATTTTTAAATGTTAAGGTCTTTTGAAGCAAACACTGAAAAAATAAACTCGTCTCATCAGCATTAAAAATGTTTTCCGACTTATAGTCTTTTAAAATTTTATTAAGAGTCTCAGTAATCCAACTTTTGCAATCTTTATCATTGACGTCATTACTTTCACTAGACATAACTTTTGCCATAAATCTCTGTTTTCATTTAAACTTATCAAGCTATCCATTTCTTCTTCGAAATTCGTGTCCCAATGCCTTTGCAAATTGGACAGCTTTCTCAGTTATTAAAAGTTCAGGAATCGGGACGTTTTTATCTCGCATTGAGTGTATCCACTTCAAAACTGCCTCATTCACATCTTCATAGACGCATGTTTTTAAATGTTTTGAACAAGGATTCTGTAAATCGTTGTTATCAATCTTATTACGATTTCTTATTATCGTTGATAAGCTGCTTGAAGGAATACCAAATTTTGAAGCAATGTCTTTTTTTCCCCACCTCTTAAAGAATTAAATTTTTTTCCTTAATGGTCAGACACTTCAGTTTCGATCCAGCAGCAAGAACAGCACTCTGATCAGCAATCTAAAAACAGGAGGCGACTTCTAGGAACTGGGCTCTACTGAGTGAAAAAGGGGAACATTGAAAGTTTTTCTGGAAGAAAAGTGAACAGTGGGGGTGGGGATAAGGACGCCATGAAGCATGGGACATGTCAATAAGGGATCACACACTTCGAAGACCCATTCCCTCTATCTGCTCATTCCTACTCAAGGAAATTGACCCTTTCCCTCCTTTTCCAGAGGTGTTGCATTTCCTGTATGAAATGCAAATAGAAAGGGAAAGGAATTTTACTGCTTTCTCTAAAAGTTAAGTGGATTAAAGGTTATTTCCCCCATAAAATGCGTTAAAAAGTTTATAATTTTCTCAAATATTTTGAGAAATAGGGAAAGTCAATCTCAAAAAAATTCGTTAAATAGAAAATTCACCTCGCAATTTGGAAGTTATTTTACGAAGAAATTTCCACCATGTTCTTGGTTCCACGAAAAATTTTGCAAAATGGAAGTTCGTTAAATAGAAGTCCGACTTATATGTTGTTCTACAATTTTGAATAGTTTTTTTTCTTCTCGGAACTGCTTTGAGAAAATTATTTAAAATCTAATCATATCCAAGTGTAAATTTATAAAATTATGCAAATATTCGAGCTTGTTTTTAACAATTTTGATTAATTTCACTACTTTGTTCTGAAGTGTAAGTTTAAAAATATGTTTTGAAAAAAATTAATTTTTGAAGCTAATTCAAATTTCTCAGAAGTTCACAAGCGTCACCAGGCTTTGCCTGGTCATTGAAATTATCTTCTACTATGTTCCTAAGAAAATCTTTCAGGACCTCACAATATGTTGTTTAAACTTTTTGCATACATAATTGGAATACGTTTTTTAAATACGAACTACTTAAAATTTTTTTTCATACGTTTCCTATATACGAACTACTTTAGTAAGATATCTAAGGGCCTCGCCGAAATAATTATTTAAGTACCTTTAAATAAATCAATGTTAATTCCGTAATTTTAGTTTATGTGTTTTTGAGCCCTAGAAAGTTAGAGACTCTCTTTTCTATTTTATCTCTGTGTATGATAAAATAAGGTTTCCTAATTTTTAATACTGGAAAAAGAAAAGCAAATTTCGTTTTCTAATATCATTAGCAGGGGTGCAAAGTCGCCATAACTATTCTTAAGGGGATACTTTTTTAAAAATATTTTATACAAATTTTTAGTTTTAAGGAGTAGTTTTTAATATTTAAAGGGCATTTTTTAAATATTTTGGGAAGGGGAGAGGAAGATATTTTTCCAATCAAATTTTCTTTCAGCAACACTCAACCTTACAATGACATGAAATATCAAATTAGAAAAACGCATTTCCAATAGTAGTCCAATAGTTGAGGGGCACAATTTTTTGATAGCGAGTTAAATTTCAAAAACTTTTTTTTGGGGGGGGGGGATTTAATTTGAAATATTTTTCAGTGAGGTAATTGTTTGATAATTTTTATTGCAGCTTTATAATGAGGTAATTGTTTAATACTTTTTATTGCAGCTTTATAATATTTAAAAGATTAAGTTCTCAAAGAAATTTAATTTTTTTACACAGCAAATCCTCATTTTTTGTGATTGATAATAAGCCTCTTCTCAAAGAAAGCATTGATGCAATATACGCATGAAACTCTTCCATTTTGGCAGAAGAGTTAAATTCCTTGGTATCAGTTAACAAAGAATTTGAAAGTAATGCCAACATTGATGCTGTAAAGGATTTTAATATGGCCGAAGAAAAAGATTTCCCCCCAAAAAAGTGAAGGAAAAAGTATGAGGAAAAAAACTTCACGATGCAAAGTCTGAATTAATTATATATTATGAATAAATAAAATACGATTTCAATTATTTAATATACCAGAATAAATTTGAAGATTGCAGAAAGGAAATCATCACATTTTATATTTTCTAATGCTTTTAATTCATATTTCTATATGAATTTTTTAAATTAACACCAATATGATGCAATAATCACAAAAATATATTATTTAACTATTTTTTTTTCAAAAAAATTGCACATTATAATGAAATATTTCATAATTATTGTAAATATTTCAAACTTATAAGATTAACATTTTGAGAGTATTACTAATTGATTACATAATTTGAACCATCAGATTTTAAAAACTTCTTTTTGCACACGCCAATTAAAACTTGTTTCTAAATTATTTTTTAAAAAATATCTAGTTACATTTGAATATATGTTTATTTCCTAAGTACCCAACAAGGGATATCTGTTAGGAATATTCTATAATTTTAGCAAAGTAATTGTTCACTATTTAGTACACATTAATACTCCCCCCTAACTAACATTTAAATTTTAGTTAAACACTAAAAATTGGAAATCAATTGTTTTGAAAAAGTTTACAAAATAGCAAATTACATCTTTTGAGGAAGGGTCATGCAATGAAATTAGTTTTGGGGCCCTATAAGGCCAGTATCCAGCCATGTTTTTAGTTGGAAAGAGATAAATATATGTAGTGTTTTAAACTAAATTTATATTAAATAACATCTGCATAGAAAGACACATAATAACAAAATATTTTAATAAATTAAACATTTTTCTTTTTACATAAGATGAAAATTTTCTTGTGTCAACAATATGTGCTTTCATATTACAATAATAATAAAAAAGTATTGACTACATTACAAACAAAAAACCATCATACATAAAAATCTAAATGTTGGTGAGAATTAAAATTTCTTTAAACTTTTCTATAAAATGTGTACATCTTTACAAATCAAATACAGTTCAATAATAATTCACAAATAAATCAACAGAGAAAGCTTCACATGGCAGAAAAAAAGATTTACTTTAAAATAGTGTAGGGGTGAAAAACAACCAAAATAGAAAAAATAGGCACAATTATGACAATTTCATTGTGGAAATTAATAACATACATTTTATTTTATACAAATATATTTTTTCTTTTAAAAAAGAAAACTCATTGGTTGAATGATTCACTTGCAATGGAAGAACTAAAATTTTTTTTTCTTTTCGTTTCACATTTTGACATAAAAGAGTGTCAGAAATGTCAACTTCTAGCATTATTTTTTGACAGCCAATCGAAAATCTCAATACTTTTATTGAGATAAAGGTATAAATGAGTTACAAATCAAATTTATTATATAGTAATGAAAAGAGCATTATAGGAACATGAATTATCTAACATTCATGTTGAATCAACACACAGAATTTAACATACAAAGAGGAGAGAAAATAATTTAAGTTTAATATTTTAGCTTTAAGAAGGGAAACACAAAAATTCTATGAGTAGGCAAGTATACATAATTTTAAGTTTTGACATTTCCTATGGTTAATCTGTACAAATAGAGGATACATCAATCAGTGAGTTTAATATTAGTTAGTCTTAAAATATACATACGTAAAGACATAAATGTAATTCTAATCTAATGACATAATATTTTTTGGCAATCTGTAGAAATAGAAAAAGGAAATCAAGCCAGTCATCAAAATTAAATTATTTTCTGACAGAAAGTTAAAATATTTGACATTTAAAAAAAAAAAAAAAAAAAANAAAAAATTGCTCAAAAAGAAAAAAAAAAAAAAAAAAAAAAAAAGGCTTTCAGCACATTCTTAGATTGGAACAAGTTTTCTCATCCATACAGGAGTTTTTTTTTCCTTTTTACAAATAAACAAAACCCTTTTTTTCTTTTACTAATTCAATAAAAATACTGAAAAATCAGAAGCTGGATTTTGTGTAATACTGTAACCAAAGATAAAATTCGTTATATCATAAAATCTGTAGAAATTGACACCTCTAACTATGATATTTTTTTCAGAGAAATTTGTAAAAAAAATTTAAAAAAAAAAAAAATGTGAGAAAAAATTTAGAATCATATTAGGTTGAGTAAACAAAAAAACAAAAACTACAAGAACATTCAAATCAAGATTAATTAATATCACCATTTATCTGATTTAACATAAAAGCTAATTTCATTGGATAGGAAGTGACAGGAAAAAAAAATATTTATAATAAAACAATCAAATATACAAAAAAAATAATAATAATAGTGTGTTTATTGAATAATACATATAAGTATATATATTTATTATGTTTTATTATAAAGAAAAGGTTTATTTTTATGTCTGATTATCATGTATTTTAAAATTTTAAGTAATACACAATTTTTTAATCCTTTAAGTAAAAATATGCTTTGAATTTACTGTAAATTTGGATCGGTGCAGTTCCAAACAATGAGCTTCAGGAAATAATTTACGACTTAACAGAGCAAAAACAAATCAGTATAATAATAACAAAGTTACTAAACAATGCATTAAAATTTAAGCAACACATTAAAATTTTTTCATTAGAATGCAAGCAAACATTAGAAGTGGATAGGCTCAAGAAAAAATCAATATTTAGAATAGTTTTTGTATCCTTTTTAAGACAATACATGACATTCTTTAATCGGTTTAACTCATATCATTAAAAAAAAAAAAACACACAAAACCGTTCATTGAAATTTGTCTGTAAAATAAGTGATTCACTTTAAAAATACTCAACACGTTATATTCTCAAACAGTTTTAAAAATTGTAACCAAGAGAGAGTTATTAATATGTTGAATGTACCAGCCTAACATTCAAAAGTAATTTTTATGGTCCACTACTCGATACATCAGAGAAGAAGATTCAAAGATAATTTGCAACATGATCACAAAATAATAACAAAAGAAAAATAGTATTACAAAAAAAAAAAAAAAAAAAAAAAAAAAAAAAAAAAAAAAAAAAAAAAAAGCTACAACCCCAACTGTTGTAGAAAAACAGGAAAAAAATATGCTTCAGTTATAGTTACTCATCTTTGGAAATCACTATTTAACCATCTGAGCATTCAGAATCCAAAAGGGTTGCTTTTCCTTACGTAACTCAACGAGAAAAGCATTAAAAATTCTATACAAATCTACCCATATGCTCAGAAGATAAAAAATGCAATGTCAGAACCAAAAGCGCAAGCACATTTCATTTTGGCAACAGCGACAGTCTGTTAGGGGATCAGGTTTAAAATGCATTTGCTATGACCATTTACTGGCTGGATTGAGATAGTCGATATCCGAAATGAACAGAAAATCCATAAAGTAATATATATATATTATAATAATAAAAAATCCATTTTACAGATTTAGTGAACTAGCATTTCTGGAAACAACAGTTCCACGTTGAATGATGAATTTGCCTGCAACACAAAAGAGTTTTCATAAATCTTGTCACTTTCCTTTGAAATGTTTTCGATAATTATTGTGAGAATTGTGTTTATATTTTGGATGTGAGTTATAAAATCTATCTTGACGTCCTCCGTGGTAGTGTCGATTCTAAAGAAAATAATTAAATTTTAAGTTAGATAGTAATTATTTATTTATACAATAAGTTTTATCAGAAGATATTAGCATAAGTATCAAAAGGAGAAAAATTCAGTAGTTTTAACAGAATAAAATAAATGCTTCTTTTAGTCAATAAAATATAAAAATTAAATTTCAATAATTTTGATATTCGAAAAGAAAAGTATCATAGTCAATAATAAGAATTATTGACTGCAATATTTTCCATTTACGAATGACATGGTAGAAATTCAAATATGAAATGTTTTCATTATGTTTATGACAATTTTGAATTCATTCCAGATGGATGCATATTATTTAATTAAGTTAAAACAGAAAAAAACAAACAAACTAAAAATCTTCAATCAAACTGACGAAGATTTCTTAACTCCAATTTAAAAGAAAAGCAGAAATTAAGCTAATGGACTGTTTTCACGTCTCTATTAGATTTTTTTAAATAAAAAAAAAGTTAATTAAATTTAAATGAAAATTAAAAGCATAGCGAATATGTAATGCCACAATTATGATAAAATTTCGTATTTCGTGAAAAAAAAACTAAAACATGAAGAAAAAACTAAAATGGTATACCATTGATTGTTGGTCTGGTTGACATATTATAATTATCATTACATTGATTGCTGGTCTGGTAGACAACTAACAATTATCATATGGTGGTATGCTGATATTCCTTTATTTTATTTTTTTATTGGTGATGAGCATTTCATTTGTTTACACCAGAAATATTCCTAAGTTCAGGGAATTTTCAAAACTCTACAAAGTATATTATGTAAAAACCAGAAGAATCAAGAGAAATTGGATAAATCTGGTTAAATTGGCAGCTATGAATGAATGGATCATTCAAAAGTGAACTTACTTCGTATTTATTATAACCACGGAAGCTTTTGCCATATTCTTGGAATGGATTATGTCCTCTAAAGTGTGTATAGCTATTGTTCGACTTAAATTTTCTTACCTAAAAAAAATAAGAAAAACATTAACATGACAAATTATTGTGAAATATTAATTTTACAAGTTTGATTTGCGACCAATTTAATTCTTCTGAGAAATATTTCGTTTTTAAGAAAGAGAAATGTGATACTTAAAATAAAATACTCCTCTTATGAAAAGGAAATACTTAAAATTATAAAGAACGTACACCATAAAAAGTCAGAGAATAGTCTCTCACATTAATAATAACAGTTATTTTAATCAGTTTAGGAAAGTTTTTGTTTAAATCTCAGATTACTATTTATCATGTGATAAAAGATGGGAAAGAACAAGCCAATTAGCCAATCTTAGGTTCCTTTTGAATAGAAAAACTTGTAATAAGTAAAAACAATTAAGTTACTTTTCCAATTATGTTCTTCAAAAATTGTTTGGGTTTTAGATATACACATTAATATTTTTTCTTTTGATAACTATTTTTAAAATACAAAAGGTAAACCATAGTCAAATTACACATATATGCAAATCAAGATGTTAAGCACAGTGGTCACCACACATAAAATCACAATTATTAAATTGGATACTCTTAAAAATCTAACCTGAATGAACAGAATCATTACAACATCAAAGCAGGCCCCGTGGTAGAATCGTGGCAACATTGTTGCAGAATGTCACCGAGTTCTTACAGAAAGATTTTTATTTTAGGAAGTATAAAGTTTTTTTTCTTTTTCCTGCAAACATTTTGGTAAGATTGTATCTTTACAACAGAACTATATTCAAAAGATTCCTTTCTCGCGCATCCGAGTGGCAAAAAATGCTTGTGATTTTTCGATTCTCATTTGAAAAAAAAAAAAAAAATAAGGAAGTAAAAATTTAGTTTTGTTTTCTGCAGAAATTTTCATTCTAATTTTTTTAATGCAGTTTTTACTATTGATTTTCACATAGTTATTAAAATCCAATATTTTTAATACGATAATATTTATTACAACAACTGAATCTCGAAATAAAAACACGCATTTAGTAACCCTTTTTTCAAAAGTCCGATTTGCGTGATTTCGTCCTCAATCTTTTTTTCCCGGTAGTTATTGCTATATATTTCACGATTTTTTAAATTATTTTGCTTCATGTGATGATGATTTACAAAATGAGCAAAGGGAAACAAATAGTGTTTCTCCCCCTACAAAATGAGGGAATATCGCCCCATAATATCAGAATAAAAAAAATTACGCATTCAATTAAAAAAATTATTTAATTTGATCCGAAAGTTCTTTTTTTTCAGTTGATGATTCTGTTATTTTAATTTAGTAACATGAATATTTGTTATTTTTAAAAGCATCGCGCAGAAAGATATTAGTATTAAAGAGGTATGTCGCAGAGAGCTCGAAAAAATTCTGCCACAGAGAAAACGGGGTAAAAGTATTCTTTATTGCTATTTTTTAAAACAAGCTTTTAGAGGGCATATGTCTTAAAAATTATGAAAATCATGCTTTTCATTGTCTGAATATTTGGAATTTTTTTTCAGGTTTTCAAAGCACCTGTTGGGAAAATTGATGGATTAAAGTTTAAAAAAAAAAAAAAAAAAAAANAAAAAAAAAAAAAAAAAAAAAAAAAAAAAAAAAAAAAAAAAAAAAAAAAAAAAAACTAACATAGAAATTATTTATCCCTTAAATCCTAACCATAAAAATAAATAAACAGCCATTACAAAGCTGTTAAGGAATTCTAATATATACATATATTTATCTATATATACCCTGCAGGAATATTTTTTTGGGCATTTTGTGACAAACCATCAATACATTAATATCTTTTGACAAGATATTTTCATTCATAACAAATATATATGTTATTAATTTAATGCAACAAAATTGTTTTGTGCTCACAAAAATAAAACTGTATTTAATTTTTCTTCCATCTACATATAAAAGAACACATATTTTGATATTATTGGCTATATACTCGCATTTTGAATATAGGGCTCACACCAAATATTATTATTTTTTAAATTTAATTGCGAGCAACATAGAAGTAAATAATTTATTATTTTCCTAATAATTTGATTGATGTTGATGTTAGTTAATTTTTGATACTTTTCAATGTCTCCTGCATTTTTTTGGATGGGTGGTCAAGCATTTTTAATTAAATTATATTTTCTTCAAATCACAGATAATTATGACACAAAGTGAAAAACCCTGAAAATTTTATGTGCGCAAACTTAATATCAAGATATATAAATTTGTACTCTATACATGATTAATATAATTTTTTGAACTAAGATTTCTAATAAATTACCTACCAAACCTACCTAGTTATCACACCTTAAAAAAATCTTACAAGAATTCTCAACAAGAATTGTGATATTAGATTTTAAAAACCGATAGTAAAAATAACAATGAATGATTTTTAAGTAGCATAAATATGAAAATTGATGTTTGATCACGTGAATATGAATCGTGATATTTGCAGATTCCGGCAAAGTTTCAACTATCAAAAATGGCGAAAATCTGCCAAACTAAAGAATTACATATGCATATAAATGTGTCATTAATGGGATTTAGTGAAGGTTTAAAAATTTAAATTTTATGTTGAGAAACTGAGTGAAATTTTTGTCGGATTACGAGCATTTGATTTGAGGAATTTCACGAATGAATGGTCTGGTGATAAGCAGAACTTTCCGAAATGCGTGATAAAATTGCATACCCTTCTTTTAGTTTTTAGACATGGAAGGATGATACGAAAAACTTAGAATTCTGGGGTACAACTGGAATAAAATCACCCCAGTCAAATACATATAAAGAATGTCTTATACGAGTCTTTCACATTAAATTAGAGCATTCAAAGAGAGTTCCCTTATTAATTTCAAGACATAAAAATCTATCTTCATACCCCGTGGCAGAATCGCAGCAACACGGCGACATTGTCACAGAACGTTACGAGTTCTTGCAGAAAGATTTTTCTTTCGAAAGGCAAAAAATTTTATTCCTCTTTTCTACAGAAATGTACACATATATTTGAATCATGCAATTAAATTAGATGAAATTTTTTGACGTGCTCAATTTACGTCGATAGTATCGTAAATCAATGCAATGTTTCGATTGCATTTTCGGCAGTTATTAATTTTCACATGGTTTTTAAATATCCCCCTATATTTCAAACAATATGGAAACTTCAGTATTATAGATATTTACCTTTCCCCTGTCATATTCATCTTCATAGTCACTAAAAGATTTCCTTTTCTCGTTATCAAATTCCTTATGCCGACTATGTCCATTCCAGGTAGGAACTAAAATATTATAAAGATTGAATTAACTCTTTAACATATATTTTTATAGATTTAAAATTTTGCTGTAGCAGATTAATATGCAAGACTGTGTACTGTATTGACGGCTCCAGTAAGAAATTCACTGCACGCCCCTTAATCAAAGCTAAAAAAATATTATTACAATATTTTGTGGAATTTTTAAAGATCCTTCATTCAAAATTGTAGTTTACATAAATATAAAGGGATTCTCAGCTATTTCTCTTTCATAAACCTAATTAAAGATTTTATGCAAGGAATTTCAAAAAACAGGCAGCCAACAGTCTTTGGCTCGATCACAATTGTCACTGTCTTTCCTTTTAGTACAGCCTTGTAAATAATAACAATAAAGGATCAACAAAAAGCATTTAAAAAATAAAGAACATATAGGATAAACTAACATAAAACCAAAAATCAGCTCAATACTTTAGTTATGAAGCAGCAAAAATCTCCCCTCTGATGTTAGACGCTTACACCACTAAATATAGAGACCAAGATCTTCCCATTTTTCGAAATGCAGAATATTTTTTTAGAAGAAAAATTCTTAGCGCTTACATTTTATGTTAGTAAAAAGTTCCATATCTAAACACTTCATGATATCTAACACAATAAGATATGAAACAATTTTTTTTCTTTTTTTAAAAAATATATCTAATCCTTTTACGGCTTGTATAACTGATGGGGCAGAATAACAGGTGTTAGGTTCTGTGAGCAAAAGGTTAATAAACTGAATGTCAAACTCAGTTGATATTCAATTGAAATTTGAAAAATATACGATTTCCAAAAGTTTTATCATTTTGATGTTTAATTAAAGATAAAAAGTGAAAATAATGCAAAGGGCAAGAAAATGTTACAGGGTTCCCACTCAATTTTAGAAAAAAGTTTCCTGAATTTTTCAGGTATATCAGGTAAATTTCAATGAAAATCTATACCATGAAATTTTTCATCAGGAAACTTTGAGTTTCTTTATTTGTAATGCCCAGCATTAGATTTTTCTGTGTAAAATAAATATCCTTAAATGAGAATGGAAACTATTCAGTTAGACTAAAATTTGAAATTTTTACAATAAATAATTGTAATCGATGTTAGACTCGAATTTCAATAACTGATTACTGTTACTGACAATTTTAAGACTTGTTATTTTTTAGGTATGATGTAGGAATTTTCCAGGTTTTTCTCAAAAATGTACAACTTCCCCGACAATTCCAGGCTTTTCCTGACCCGTAGGAACCCTGTATTAGTACTATTTGTTAAGTTTTAATACGATGACTAATTTTAATACTTTGTAATAATATGAAATAAATAAAATAAAACAATATTAGAGGTGTAATTTTGTGTTACCATTATTAATCGCTAATTTCTCTGAGATTTTTAAATTTTCTCGCATCCAGAGAAAGCAGCCCTCTTGTAAAATGAAAATCATTTGTGCCAAATAATTTTCTTTTTTATCTATAACATATTTCTTTTTAATGTTGAAAACAGTTTAGGAGCCCGATGCTTGGAGCCAAAAACTGGTGCCCAATGTTACAATGAGATCTTTGTCAGTTTTGGCCACTACATTCAAAAATAAAATCAAGCGCTATGACAGGGAAAATAAAAAAGATGTGCTCATATCTTTAAATTATGCTAAAACGGTTTTTAACTTTCTGGATGACTTCAATAGCATTTTCTAATTAAAAACAAAACTACAGTTAAGCACAGATTATTCTTAGAATAAAGTGAAATATCAATTGTGCCATACAGTAGCAAAGTTTTTTAAAACATGAAGGAGACATCAAACATAGATTAAAAACATCAATACAACTATGCATTTAACTTAATGGTAGCAGGCCCACACTTAGCATTTGCCACCATGCCAAATGTGATAAAATAATAAATTTGGCAAATCATGTGTGGACTGGAAACAGTGTGCAAAAACACTAGTTTTACACAGAAAATAAAATTGACAATAACACAATTCTATTTCTCCCTTCGGGCGCTTGATGTTGTCTCTCGACGGGGAGTGTGTTTTCCAGCTGTTGTTCAGCACACTTTGTCGAAGCGATAACTACTGACATTACGCAAACTGCATAGCTAAAAAAGGCTGAGTGATGTCAGCTGCACTGAGAGCACACTTTACTTTTAAAAAAATTTTCTGCCAAGCTAATTGATGTATCACGTTACTGAAACAAAAGATCTTTCGAAAGAACTAAATAGCAAAATGACCAGTTTCAACAGATTTTAATAAATCAAACAATCAGTTAGAAATTTTTTTTCCAGGCCATTTTGACATGGACTTTCAATGCATGATAGTTTAATAACAACACATGAGAATCACCATGAGGTATAATTTTTTTTATTTATGATGATTCAATTGTAAATTAAACTAATTTCCAGCTCTTTTTTTGACAATTATTACAGATACTTACCTTTTTTTGTGTGGAAATTTTCACATGATTTTTAAATTGAGACATATTTAATGCAATGTCACATATTCTGAATTTGAATGATGAACATTCATTACTAAATTCTTGACAATTCCATCATGAAATCAGGTAGCTTTTTCCACCAGTTATTATTTAGCTTTTTATTTCTGGATTGCTGATGTTTGAAATACAGAATTAATATGACCAGCAAATTTCGAATAGGGATTATATATATATATATTTCCGAGACTTTGTGTTGAAAAAAACCTTTAGGTGAGATCATCAAAACCTCTCCCAGTGACCGGACAAATCTCTGTACCAAATGCGGAATAGGTCAAATAAGGAAACATGAAAAAATATCAAAATAAAAAATATATAACAAAAACAAATAAGAAGATTCTAATGTATTCAAAATATTTGTGAGAGGCTCATATTTAGAGAACTCTTTTTGACAATTGTCGAAAGAGAATGACAACCTTATGTTACAGTTCAAGTACATTAAAAGTGATGCTATCAATGATTTAGTTTTAGAGTTAAAAGTTAAATTTAAGAAAAAGGTTATTTTAGAAAAAACTAAGCATTTCAAGCAAACAAACCCATCTTTTTTTTTTTTAAAAAAAATAAAACTATTTTTTATGATAAAAAACTAAATGTAAACTTAAACAAAAAACATAATTGCTTAGTTATTTAAAATAGCTCTCTCATTCATAATTGGTAAATATATCTTTACACATAATTAAATCAGTTGGGGAAATTTTTATTGAAGCTAAATTTATTTTTCGATCCGATTTTCAAGATGCCATCACAAGCGGCATTTCTGCAAAAAAAAAGAAAGAAAGACATTGACTAAAATTAAAATCACTTGATCACGTGCATTTGCTAACATTTTGAAATCACTGGAAGTTACCCCCAATAACAACCACCTGTCTTGTGACCATTTTATTGTGAAACAGTGAGTGGTAGCTCCTGAGAGGTTTCACTGTATAAGTGTTTGCATTTCATAAAAAAAAAAAAAAAAAAAAAAAAAAAAAAAAAAAAAAAAAAAAAATCACTCTATGGTTAGAATTTGCCTTTGGGTAAGAGTTTTGAAATTTGACTAATACTTTTGATATTTAGCTAATAATTTTAAGTGCCTAGTGCAGGCCCTGAAATTTTTTTACTCTTTTGTTGCCAAGGCAACAAAACACATTTCTCTATGTCGAAACGTATAAACGGTAGCTAATGAAGGTTAGTATAACAAACTCCAGAATAATTACCATGTTTCACCACACAAAAGTAATACGAAAATTTATACATAATTACAATCAACAGTCTTAGTTTTTCAGTATTTATTTTACGCCTGCCATGGCTGTTTTAAACCTATACCTGAACAAGAGAGAATCTGTTATCTAAAAATAGTTATTATGCTCTATTTCGAAGTGCTACTCAAATATCTTCATTTTGGAGCTAGATCATACATGAAATTGGGCAATAATTCAGTGGTAGTTCTGCACCAATATTTTACGCTAATGTCATAAATAAAAATGAAAGAACTTACCAGAAGAACCAAGAAAATATTTAGAATTATTAGTGAGCTCCTTCGCAACATCAAACTTTTGACCTTTATTTTTGTCATTCAAACTTTGGAAATGCGCTTTCTCATCTTTACCGTAACTGTGATTACCTGCGGCAAAATTATAGCTTATTAAAATTGTATATAGAATTGTATGCACATTTAAATAATAATTTTATGAATCTTGGCCATACATAGCTACTTTCAATCAGACAAGTGGCTTGCAACCAGTGTTATACAAAAATAAATAAAATCTTCTTATATTTTATAACCGTAGCTGAACAGTCAACCAAATTATGGGTTTACGACCACCTATGCTTAACTCCGTAGCCCTGTAATTTTCAATCCAATCTAGAAGGCAAGGGAACTCTTGGATCAAGTATTGGGAGAAATTTGTCTCCGTAGAGGACTTTTTGATGGACCTAACCTGCATTTGCGTTACATGGAGGTAAACCACAAAAACCTCCCATGATTATCCTGACGGCAAGGGGACTTTAACCCATGATCCATCTACCACTGAGGATATTTTATATCAGTCTGTTTCATTCCTCTTTAAAATTTTGAGGAGTGAAATTTAAAATAGAGTTAATGTCAAAACATAGATTATTTTTGCAAATTACAGCCATTGTATAATGCAGATTAACTATGTTATTACTAGAGCCCGGACTTTGATGACCTAAAAAATCTCAACTAATGCCCTTAAAAAGTGCAAAAAATGCCTTAAATAAAGTAAAAATATTGAATTAGAAAAATGTTTTGCTCTTTAAAATTATTATGAGTCATTTAAAAGATATAAAGCAATGTAATACTTGTTCTACGCTCATTAAAGTTTGAAAAATATGTTTTATATCCTAAAATAACAAAAAAAAAGAAAAATATATTGACACCAAAATATTTTTATTTTGTATAGAAACTTTAATAGATATAATATTACTAAATATCAGAATTACATTGGATTATTAAATGTTTTTTGATAATTTGAAATGTAAACGAGCGTCTTTTGTCTGAAAGTAAATTTTCATTCCTGCAAATTTCATTCTTTCAACGTCTACTGATGTTATAGGTGCGTACTTGAAAAAGACGGTCTTACTTACTGACAATTCTTCTTCAATTTGAAAAGATGTTGCTTCACCTGTTAATATCCTATAGATTTTCTTTATTGTTTGGAAGCCAGTGTAATAATGAAAATTGATAAAAAATAATAAAAATTGTAAAAAATTAACAGAAAACTTTAAAAAATGTTATATATATGCCCCAAAATTTCAAGAAAAATGCCCTATAAATCTAAAAAAATGCTCTAAAAGACAAAAAATGTCCAAAAATGCAAATGTCATCAAAATCCGGGCCTTAGTTATTACAAACAGATAAGGTATACAAATAAACACTATTGAGTCGTTGTTAATATAATAAACAAAACAAAAAAACCCCCCAATTAATCCACATTATTTTCATACTTTTTTTGTTTAAATATTATTAATAAGTTACGTAAAATTTAAGTTTTTATAACACTCTTTCTTCTTGTTTTCATCCTTTAACTGTTTCTTTGAATTCATATCAGTGAAAACCTGGAAAGGTAATCTAAATGTCGATCATGAAACAAAACTCTGCATTTAGATAAAAATGCTCTTTCACAAGAGGTATTTAGAACATGTGAAAGGGTCTCATTATCATTCTCCCTATACTTATTGATTTAATTACTCAATAGTTTTAAAGTAATATTTTTGTTAACATCAGGCTGGAAAAGGTAAAAATCTTAACAAGAAATCAAAGTGGAGAATTCATACATCCGATAAAATTTTTGAACAGTGGTTAAACTTGCTTGCAACTCCATGTATCGTGATTCTTCTCAATAGGCAATCTATATAATGATGTCATCAGGCGTAATTATTAAATTGTAACGTGTCATTCATTGTTTGCGTATAAATAATGGTGACTTGTGATTAACAAATTATTTGATAAGAAACTATCATAAACAGAAATGTATAATTTATTATTCTCAATGTAGATAAGTAACTTAAAGTCAAGTAAATAGAAATAGTAAGTAAAAAGTTAAATCAGACCCGGTAACTTCAGAAATGTAACCGCTTCCCCGATTAACTCGGGTATGTATATATTGCAAATATTAATTATCCCGAGTCAACTTGGGAGTAGCAGAATTGGTCAACATTTTATCCCGTTTTTATTCTGCAGGAAGCAGGAGAAAAAATAATAATAATGTGCTGCGATTGAAAGTTTGCCAATTTTTGTTTGGGAGTCTTGCTATTTGTGGGACTGCAGACGTGTCTTGAACATTAGTATATACGATGGTCGATAAGTTTTAATTGAAAAAAAAAAGTTAAAAAATTGCGCTCATGAGCGATAGTAATGCAGATGATTTTTCAGATTATGAAGATATGAACATATACAAAGACTAACATTTAACTTTTTTCATTTGCCTCAGATCATTTGGGACAGTAAACTGATGGTAAATTAAATATTTTTTACACATAAAAAAATTAAAATTTCAACTTAGAACTAGTGTAGTATGTTTTATTTTAGTTCCTTCAGGGGTGATTGTGAGTCCAAGTCAAAATTCCGGAAAAATCATTGAGTTAAAAAGTTTAAAAAAAAAAAAAAAGGACCAGTTTAACTGAAAAATTAGAAAAAAAATTTGAACAAGGTTTTTTTCCCTTTCTCTCAATATTTCTTAGTTCACTTAAAAAATTCAAAATTTTACACATACCTATACCATTTACACCTGGAGAAGTTATTACCTGGAGAAGTAATTAAAATTTACAAATATGTCTTTCTTTCTTGAGTTTATGATTATAACAACTATTTACTTATAAAAAATGAAAATTAATCATTAATATGAGCTTATAAAGTAACTCTCTGGCTCTCCCTTACAAACAAATAAAATAAACCGTGTTTTTAAGTTCCACCTTTGAAAATTTGATTTCCGGAAACTTCTGTGATCAATGATTTTTTTAAATGGCTGAACCTTCGATCTCCGGAAACTTCCGGATCACTGTAAGTGAAAATTCCGGAAATCCGGATTTTTTTCCGGAGCACAATCAGCCCTGCTCCTTGTATTTATTAATGAAATAAAAAAATATGTTGATTTTTTGCATTTCCTCCCCCCTCCAAAAAAAAAAAATTGGTAAGGGAAGTATTTAAAAAGATTTTTTTGGGATCATGGCATAGTGTAATAAGCAAAAAAATTATTTAATAAATTAATAAATTCACACATTCTTTAAATAATAAACTAATCAATTTTTTAAAACAGATTCAGGGACTAATTTACCATTACGTTAAATGCTTTCTGAACAACTTTCTGGTTTGTTTTCCTTACTAACAAGTTCTCCTAAATTTGTTTTAAGTTAGAAAAACAGAATTATAAGCTTGAAATTTTGTTATGAGGCTGAATACTCTATCACAAGCTGCAACGCGGTGAGAAATGGTTTATACCGCTAGCTTTTATTTGGTTAACATACTGTGGCAACATTCAGAGGAAGGCATTTGCTCGTCTAGTCAACTATGATGATTTCTTTAAAAAAGAAATGAATTTCTAAAACTGAAATTTTGAAAATGCACTCATACAGTGACAAATTTTCTGAACTTGAATTATTTAAACAATCTCAGATAGATTCATCAATAGAAAGATACTTCTAAATAAGTCTCAATATAATAATAGATCAAAATTAGATATTTTCATTTAAATTACTTCAAAACGGAATAGCATATAATCTACATACAAAAGAAGAAATGCAGAAAAAATTAAACAAATGACAAGAAAACTTAATTTATTGTAATCTGGAAACAAAGGCAATAAAAATAAATAAATAAAAAAAATCCAAAGAAATTAAACCATTATTTAAAGCAAATGGGTATTAAAAAGTATTTTCAACTACGGGAAAAATTTTATGAAATGTATAAAAAAAAAACATTATTTTTACAACAAATTTGATGGACAAAAGAAAAAATGCATCACAAAAACTTTAATAAGCTTATCTTAAACACAACTTTTTAATCAGGAATTGGAAATATCAAGAAAAAAATTTCTACAGCGAAGATGGCGAGTTTCTTTTATATAAAATGACCACGGGTCTGAAACAATGACTGGAACAGTTAAATTTTGCGATTTTCCCTGGCATTATTTTTGTCAATAAAAAAAGAATATATTGAAAATCTAAATCTGAACACACAAAAAATCAGGACAAAAAGCTAAAAATCTTGCATCAGGAATATCAGGCCAACTACTTAACCATGCACTGCAAAGTTCTATAAAATCACTGATCTGGATGAAAGTTTTGAGGGCTGCATGTAAATTGTACGGATTTTCCGATTCATACACTGATCAAGAAAAAAACCCAGATTAGATACTCTGGTGGCCAGAGGTCCTGAGATGCAACACAAAAAACAGAAATTCAAGTATAAAGCCAAAGAGTTGGCAGGTCTGAAATAAACACCACTGAGTTTTTTCTCCTTTTTGTAAAAAGTTTTTTTTTAATAACGACTGCTGCATTGCCAAGCATTTCCGTTTTCTTCGGACGTATGTGATATAAAGAGAAATTATTCAACTAAATCGTATTTTGGTAGTAGAAATGCATTTCTAATTGTTTAGTGTGATTCATTAAATATAGTGTAAATTGGCTAAAAAAAGTTCTTGACAATATGGTAAATGATCTGTCGTAAAAACAAAATCAATGACACAGCCCAGTACCAGTACGACCTCGAAAATCCGGACTCATACGTTCAGTTCGTCAGAAAAAACTTTCAAAAGAAAAAGTTTGAAAAAATCGCTTAAAATAAAAAATTTTAATGCAAGAGTGTAAAACCACTACTCTTCTCCAACAATGAAGCAGCAGATGAAGAGGTAGGGGTGGGGAGTGAATGAAAGCTCATAGCTGATAAGGAAATTCCAGTCATTCTTATCAGCTTTGTATAGATAACACAGAATATAAAGGGGAATCTCCTCAGGAGGAGGAATTCTTCTAAAACTGGTTCTTTCTTAACCTTGAAGCTTAGGAGGCGAGGACAAGTTCTTTCATCCTCCAACAAAAAAAGGATTAGTATCAGCTGGTACAGTCTAGTCTAGAAGCATCTGTTTCAGCTATAAGTTGAAATTCAGCTCGCGTTTTAAACCTATATTTTTAGTTTTAATTGATAATATTATGTTATCTAAGCGATCGATAACGGGGGGAAATGACGAAAGTTTGATTTTTAATGTCATTTATTATATAAAGAGTATATCTATGTTAAAATTGACATCGAAGGTCTACACACGTGCGTTTAATCGCGAAATCGGCCTGGCNAGCGATAAGTTGAAATTCAGCTCGCGTTTTAAACCTATATTTTTAGTTTTAATTGCTAATATTATGTTATCTAAACGATCAATAACGGGGGAAAATGACGAAAGTTTGATTTTTAATGTCTTTTATTTATTATTTAAAGAGTATATCTATGTTAAAATTGACATCGAAGGTCTACACACGTGCGTTTAATCGCGAAATCGGCCTGGCAACTTCGAAAGTTCGATAATTCTATCAATTTAAGTAAGGTATCTAAAATCCGGACCTTCCAAACCCCCCAGCAGTCCGGATTTTCGAGGTTGCACTGTATTATGAATTAGAACAAGTTGTGCAATATGAATAAAAAGTAAAAACCATACCTTTGAACGTACGGTCCACACTGTCATTAGTTTTTTCAACCCATTCATATTCTGGGCTTGAGTTGGATGAACTACTGCAGTTTACATTATTCTTAGAAACATCTATTCTTTCTTTCTTTGTCTCTTCAAGATCAGATTTTTTGGGTGACTCGAAGCTTTTATGAGGGGAAGCAGCAGTTTGCGATGCAAGTTCGGTGCTGTACAACTTTTTAGAGCATTTGTTAGGACTCACTAAATCAATCACAAGTCCATTTCTTATGTCAGTTTCACACCTAACCTTTTTGTGTGGGGGACCATCCGAGTTCACGAAGTGCGTTTCATGTTGAATTTTTTTAGGTACAGAACTAGGTTGGTCTTCACCGTTACAAAATTTGGAGTTCGTAGGATTCTCCTGATCAGAGTCACTACATTTCCTTTTAAGGGTGGAGCTTTCTTTGCAGTTTTCTTCCTTGGCAAAAAACGCATTTCCGTGTTTACTTTCTTGCTTGCGAAAATCATGCTGTTTGGTATTTTCATTTAAACCGTTGTGAGTGGAATCAGTCTGGTTTGATGAAAATACCAAGTTACAGGCTGGTTTACATTTCTCGTCTTCACCGGAAGAGTCTTGTTTCACTACTTTGGGAACAGAAGAACCTCCTTTGTCTGTGGATGTGACATGCCAATCAGTAGTAGAGTGGACGCTAGAATTTGAATCAGCACCGGGAGAATCAGCTCGTACATTAGTTACTGTCCAAACATCAGTAGCTATGACTTTAGACGAGGTAGAACTAGAAGAACCAGAGTTTGAAAGCCTATTCACATTTAATGCTGGTTTCCTCTTAATATTAAAATTACTAACACACTCAGGTTTAGCACTACTTAAAGAGTTACTACCAGCACTATTACTAGAGCCTGAATTGGAATTCAATTTCACTATAGCATTGTCATCTGAGGAGGAGTCTGAAGAATCTTCAATATAAGGCACTAATCCTGCTTGATGATTTTCAGTTTTGGGGGTATTTACATGAGTTGAGTTAGTTTCCTGAGATTTAGAAGCTGGATTACGAATTCCAAATGCTATTTTTTCACGGTTATTCACATTAGGGGAAAGTCCATTTCTTTTAGTGAGATTAACTGTCGGATACGTAGGCTGCTTCAGTTTTGGGCTTGATTGCCTGAATTGATTGTTCTGAATCAATGGTTTTGAGGAAGGAATTTCACTTTTCTTACTGTCACAAACTAAAAATAGAAGAATGAAGGAAAAAAGGTGAAAAATAAAAAATTTGCGCATTTAACTTTTAATAAATATTAAAAATAATTAAAATTATTCCTGGAACTTACCTGTTGAACCAATTTTTTTGCACACTACACCATTTTCTAATGTCTTCTAAAAGAAAAAAATAATATTAAATTGATATCTTTTTCCATGCTCATTAATAAACAAACATTTATTACATTCTTAATTAAGGGAAATTTTGTCATCTCTGATGTGGATACTTATATGCATAGTGATACCTCATTTAAGTTTCGTAATTAATATATATATTTTTTTCATTTTGTTTCTCATCATGCCATGTAAGAAGCAATGAAAATATGATTTTTACTATCTTAGGTAATTAAACTTTTTTCAAATCCACTATTCCCATCTAGTTAAAGCCTGAAAAGATTTATACAGTAAAACCATGATTGATTGAAATCTTGTTTCTTATAGGACCGTTTACAGCAAAAAGTTTCATTTTAATGAAACAAATATTTCCTCAGAATAGTCAACAGATAACAGGATTTAGGACTAAAAGAAGTTGAAGTAAATTATTTTATTGTGCTCTTTCAGATAATTTTTTCACAACTTACACAGCTTATAGTAATTATCAGAAATCAGCAGTTTTAGAAAAAAAAAAGAAGTTTGTGTGGTAACATAGTGCGGCAGAAAACCAATTATCCAGAATGCTCAGGGTCACCACTATCCGGAATGTCTAAATTTCCTAGTTCTCTGGATTGGGTAAAAAACACCATTTATTGATGTTTTATTGAACCCAAATTAGAATGAAAAAGAAAAACACATTTAAAAATAAAATAAATAAAAAATAGCTTTTAAAAGAATTAAAAAATAACAAATTCAAATATGTATTTTTTAAAAATTTCATGAACTTTAAACTGACGAATTTGATCTAAACGCTTTAATTAATCCTAGCAGAAGTAGATGAAGGATGATCTATTAATTTCTGATATACAGAATATAAGAGAGAAGGGTGAGGGGGAAGATAAGAGAGAAAACTAAAGTGAAATGAATGAAAATGTGCATAAAACATATGCCCATCTGTAAATAAAGGTCATGATGTGAAACTATTTGTTCAAACAGTAAAGACCAGGTGCCCCAAAAGACTGGTCAGGTAGTTGTAAAATTACAAATAAAAATAACAGGATCTTAATTTTGTGTCACTTTAAAACTATATAAGGAAATTAAAAATATGGATTGAACTTGAGTAATACCAATATTGCGCAAAAAGTTATAAATAATTCTATTAAATATATAATAATCACCAAATTAACTAAAATAAAACAAAACTAATGACTTAATAATGCAATATATTGCATACCTAATTATAAGGAAAAAAGAAAACGATAAAATACATGGAAAACTTATTAATCAGGTCAAATAAAAATAACGCTAGAAAACTACCAAATGGAAATGATAATTAAAAAAAAAAGGCACTAACATAAATATTAAAACCTAAGAACAAGGCAAGATGTTATAAGATCAACTGAATTAAAAAAAAAAAAAAAACAACTTTTATCTTAAAATTCATGAATAAAAAGAAGTAATTTATTGAGTATAAAATTTATTGTGAAGTGTAAAAAAAATAAAATAACGTAGTGGAATTAGAAATGAATCACTTTCAAAAAGAGAAAGTTGCAATCTGCTTTATAAAATAATTAGATGCTTATATTAATAAATAATCTTTTATTTTTTATAAAAGACATGTTTTAACAAAATCAGACGCGATTCCACATCAAGCAAAATTACAAATGATGCTGCACTTCTAAAGAATCAAATTTATTCAATTCAAACATATTGTTTTGTTCATAGATGTAAAATAAATATAACTGACAGTAAAAAAAATATTTTTTTTTTTGTTCTTAATAATTAATTGTATTATCCGAAATTATAAAACAATAATTTTACATAATAAATCAAGGATAACAAAAATAGAGAAACTAAAGTGGATTAAAAAAAATCTGTCACTAAACTTGAAGTTTCAAGTTCCTTTACTCAGACATCCAATTAACAACACTCAAGAAATTATTAAGAAAAGAAGAACCTCGAGGATGCATATAATGACAGTCAATCCAGGAAAGAGAGAGAGAAATATTTCTTTAAAAACCCCTATTGCACAAAAACAAATTACAATATTGAAAATGGAAGAATTAAATCCTGCAATCTGATAGAGAGTCAAATTCTCCAAAATTGAATTTTTTTCGAAATTCCCGGGGATTATAATGCAGAGACTGTCTGAAAGAAATCCTGATCTTTGAAATTAACATACGGAATTTTTCAGACTGTATGCATTTTCATACTGAAAACTGTTGTTATAAATAAGAAATTTGGTTGGTTAAAGATGCTGTGATTAAGTATGCTCACTTTCCTTCCTTACGCCAAGAAGCTGACCGCATGGGCTATTTTCCTTCTACCAGTCCAGTACAACGTAGCCTTCATGTGAAAGCTGCTTATGATCAAAAAATTAGTAATATTGCTGAGGGTGAACAAACTGTCAAGTGGTTATATGGCTATAGTTCATATATTTCCTGTGTAATTCTCGTTCGACATTCACTTTTCGACCATATATAACTTTTTTTTATTACTGTTTAAAACAGTTTTAATGGGCAAAACAATATGAAAATGATTACCGCTTGAAAAATTCCACACCAGTTTATTGATCAGAATTTTGAGACAGCAATCTATTAATAAAATCTAAATGGAAAAATGTATTAAAGCAAAAGGAGAAATGTTTTTAATTAAATTAACAGCTTTAGGAAAAAGTTACACTGTTTAATATATTCAATTGAAAATCTGATATTTCCTACTCACTTACTTAACACTTTGATCAAGTCAGTTTATTTAAGAAAACTGATTCAATAAAGTAACCAAACATAAATTCACTGGGATTTTCAGACGAACAATTAGTCTTTATAAGTGAAATAATTCCTATTTAGTACATCGATGCAAGAGTAATTTTTTATAAAATTAAAATTACCTTAATTTAAAAATTTTACAATAACCAATTTAAATTGTTCAAAATCTTAACTTTTGGGAGTTATTTGCTATTTTGAAAAATTCTAAAATAATCGATTGCACCGAGGAGTTTTTGCCAAATCCTATCGTCCCATTTAACTAATGCAATTAATTAACATCATGCTTCTTTCATTTTATCCCCGTTATCAGCCTGCTTGTTTTCCACAAATAAAAATGATAATAATTAAAGAATATTTAATTAAAAACGCATACACAATTACAAATTCATAAAAAATCACAATGAAAATAACTAACACAAGCAGCAAAATAATGTGGGTCCTCAATGGACTAATATTCACGAATCTTGGCCCAGTAACAGTTCAAAGGGCCACGATTTTCGACATTGAACCCATATAGAATTGTTCCACTCGTCCAGTATTTACAGCCACTTTACAACCAATAGTGGCCCTATATAGAGTTGTGAGAGTCACTCAATATTTTTTAAATTCATTATTCAACCAATATTGGTTGTATATAGGCTGATATCGATCCAATACAGGACCAATATTAAAAAAAATCTAGACATCACAATATCGGTCCTTCAATGCATGTTCATACAGAACCCATATAAAGCTAATTTTGAGCACAACTGGGACCAAGGTAAAGTTGTTGTTAGGGAATGTGCATACCTTTAAAGGAAAGCTTTCAGTAGGAGTAGCCTTAATGTAAAACAAAACATAAGCAATCTGATTTAAAACTTGATTTATGCCCACACGATGCACCTAAAAAAGAAAAAATATATATACTCAGGTATTTATTTTAAATATTAATCATTTACAAATACGTTAGAAGACAATGCCTGCAGTATAAAAAACAGTAGAAAAGTCAAACTGTCTCAACCTAGCACATTTAAATATTTGGGTGAATATTGCGTAATGAAGGAAAACACAAGTAAAAAAGATAACAGGCAATTTCCTTTGAAAATTTATAAAAAAATGAACCTTATTGCACATGAGATTTCTGACTGATAATATTCTCGTAATTGCTCGTGTCTTATCCAAAAGAATTTTTCATAATTTACACTTATTAATTGACATTACATCCTTTTATTACTTTAGTAATAGAAATGAAATTCATTTTATACAATTAAAACAAATATTTTATTTAATTTAAAAATATGAGATTTAAAATAAATAAATAGAATAATTTCTTCATACTATTATTATTTTTTAAAAACTTCAAAAATATATTATGTTTAGCAGTATTACTTAATTGATATTAAAATAATCTTTTAAACCACATAAATAATATTTCAGTAGTAAATTTATTATAAAAAAATCACTAAGCATATTTTTGTTTCAATAATTAGCCATTCACTATTTTGAATTGGTAATTTAACCAAAATTTTTTTTCTCCAGAATTCATTGAATAAAGCTTGTATTTTTATGGCTTATTTGTATTTCGTATTTACTTTAGTATCAAGATTATTTTTTGCTTTTTCTTAAATGCAAATAAGCTTCAATGCAAAATAAAAGATAAAAAATAATTGAAAATTTTCGTTTACCCTTTGGTCATCCATAATGTACCAAGAACCATCAGAATTCTTTACATAGCAGTAGTAATGACCAGAATTACATGTAGGCCCAGAATGAACTAAAACAGCATTTAAGTGGTAAACCACAGGTTCACCCTATAAAGAAAGAGTTAAAGATAAGAACACGTTGCACTTAAAGGAATTTAAGGCAACTAAAATTAAGAAAAATGAAGACAAACCTTCGTGTCAGACATAAAAGGTCGAAGATTAAGGTTTTGAGGGTAGGTAATCTGCTTTGTTATTTTCCCTCCGAAGGACCTATTATAATCAAACCTGGAACATTTCAGATAAAATTAATAACAAAAACAAGCAGAACAATTTGCAAGCAGTAATACATTTACAAGGGTGAGAAATGAACAAATTTTAATAATAATAATAATAAAAACAGCAACCTTTTAACATGTAAGTTTCAGGGTTGAGGTTACATTTTTAACTGTTTTCATTTTCATAGCACACAGGGAATTAACAGAGTGGAGAATACATGAAAACTTCAAGAAAGGTAATTTATTAAAAAAAGGTGACTTTTTTTTAAAAATTTGACTATAGGAAGCTTTTTCTTATAGTCACAAAGTGCATGAATCTGCAATTTGTCTGCAATTCAAATATTAGTACAAATGTAAATTGAAGTTGTTAAACAATGATTTTAAGATTTCTCTTTTTCCAGTTTCCTAGTAGAAAAACATCAGATTATACAGCTCGAAGTTTAAGGAGAGAGAAAATAAAACAAATTGTTTGTTAGAAATCCCTATCTAATAAGCCACATAAGACCTCAGGGTGTTTAGCAGCTTAAGACTAGAAAAAAACTTATGGATTAAGTTTTAAAAAAGGGGCGAGTTAAAAAAAAACTTTTTTTTAAGAGTAAATATTCATTATTCACTATACAGATATAACTAATAAAATTATTATATGAGCACTGACCTGTAACAACTTGAGATCTGCGGATATTTGCAGAAACTTGATAATTAAGGACAAAAACCATGCTTTTGTATTAAAGTGATTAAAATTTCCGGGGAAAAAAAATTTATTACTGACGACGAATGAAGTTTGAATGACAACCCACATATTTTTTTTTTTAAAAAAAGAAAATTTTTCTTACTAAAAATCTACAAAAAAAAGTTGACAAATCTTAAAAAAGGTGACTAAAGGCATCAAATTTTTAAAAAAAGGTGGGACAGGTGACTCAGTCCTCACTCTGAATTAACTGTCCAAAGCCTAAAAAATCAACGACAATAATTATCTTTTCAAATTTATACACTGTGCACTTATTGGTTACCTAATATCCCGGTGTAAAAGTCGACTTTTCAATTTTCTAAAAATCAGGAGGTCAACTTGTACACTAGTAAAAAAGTTGGACATTCGTTGATCCTGAAATACCAATGCATTATAAACAATGAGATAGATATAACTCTGTATCAATTCACCCCTTTCAAAAACTATTTTTTACTATGTTATTTGAAATTAATTTCGCATTTTCTCTTAGCTTATTTTCTTTACATATAAAGGTTTTCTTTAGAAACAATACTTAAATACCAGGAAAAATATGAAATATTTTTAACATGAGGACATTTGGAAGCCTTCCTGAAAAATTTTAATGTTTTATAAATTCAGGTATTTTTTTGGTCTTTCATTTGTTAACTTATACATTGGGACATACAGTGCATAGATAAATAAATACATAATTATTACTGATATTTAAGGTAGGTAGATATTTTATTTACGTCGCACTAGAGCTGCATAACAGATTATTGGCGATGGTCTGGGAAACATCCCTGAGGATGATTAGAAGACATGCCATTGCAATCTTGTTCCTCCACAGAAGGGTCCCTTGCTTTGGTAGCTCGACGACCGGCGAGCAAAGTTGAGCACTTTACGGCAGAACAGTTTAACGAGGACCCATACCACGACCCTCGGTCCTTACGCAGGCTGATCAAAGTGGTCACTCACTCGTTAACTGACTTCAGCCAGTGATGCTCAACTTCGGTGTTCTACTGGGAACCGTGTTCTTGAGTCCACTGATATTTAAATATCTACTCATTGATTTTCTAGTTATAAGCACAGAAGTTTAAGTTTATGACCAATTCTTTACATAAGATAAAATTTTAGAAATACCTACCCCCCCCAAAAAAAAAGATCTATAAAATTAAATTAACTTTAAGCAACAAGTTAAATGAATTTTTTTTTAAAATAAAAATTAATCTCAAGAACATTGCAACATAACATAATTATTGTAACTAAAGAAAAAGTGACCTGAAAAAGTTGGAGGGAAAAAAAGTAAGCAAAATTTAAAATGATTTAATTTAGAATTATCATACATACTTTGCCTTTTATTTTCCAAGATAAATTGTAAATAGTTCTGATTACACTAATGAATAATAAGGATTATAACAATTCATATAAAAAGAATTGATTGAAACTCTCATTTGCAGATATCTTCCAAAGAAGGTGAAGGAAATAGAATTACCTCTTTAGCTGAAAGGTTGCAACATTTGGCGCTTTATGAACAGTGAATCTCTTACAAGCTTGAACTTTCATTTTGCATTTAGGACATTTGTAAGCATTATCATTGTCTAGATTTTCAGGCTCAATAAACTTTTTCAATGCAGCCTCTAGTGTGAGAACATTTTGCTGTTAAAGGGGGGAAAAAGTTGTATGTTAAAACAATCTTTAAAATATAATAAAAATGATCAGAAAAAATATAAAAATTTAAAGAAAACTAAAAAATATCCCAATTTCTATCACAAGCATACACAACAATGAGGAAGAAACAGACTAATAATATCCTGCTGAAAACTAGAAACAGAATTTCAAACCAAGATAAAATTTTTCAATAAATTTGATATTATTCATCTAACACATGTTATAGAATCACTTTATGGTCTCACAAAGTTACTAATTAACTGTTAAACTTTAAATATCTGAAAATGTAGCACAGGGTTCCCACTCTATGATGAGATTGAAATTCAAGGACTTTCCAGGACTTTTCAAGGACCTCAACAAAATTTTCAAGGACCTTAATCTAAGACCAATTTTAAAAATTATTCTCTTCTATTTTACTAGAAGCAACAATGCTTGTTGTGGCAATAATTAATTTCAAATATAATACCTAAATGCTTTGCCTATATAGAGAGAAGAGAGTATATGTATTATGGACTAAAATTTATATTTTTTTAAAAACAACCCTACTGGTTTTACATATTAATTCACAAAATCATTTTCAGCACAATCTATAACTAATGGTAATGAGGTGTTAATGGTGAAATCCTTTAAT